GTCCACGGCGAACGAAGGAACCACGAATAATCGCCATGGGGTAGTTGCGCTTTCCAACGACCAACATTCGAATGAGCTTCTCATTACCGTTGACAATGAAATAACCACCCAATTCCTCCGACTCTTCCTTGTGCTCAACAAGTTCATTAGGCGTGGCCTTTTCCAAATGGCAGCGGTTGGTCTGGAAAATCACGCAACGTTAGACAAGAGATTTTTCCCTGCATACTCAATCCAACTGCTAATGTAATCGCACTCACCCTCAACATGATGGGAACCTGACCCAATTCTCTGACCGACTCCATCCAATCGCCATTGTTGACGCGCCATTCAAGTCTGGCGCGGAGCTTTCCACGGTACGTCGCATGGCGTTCTCTGCATTCCGAGGGGTAGATGTTGCGGTTGCGGGAAGTGAACTTGTTCGACGGAGGCAGGGCCGGCTTCTCGAGGAAAACCTCGCTGACACGGACATGCAGCTTGTTCCGCTTGGGCGCCTTGCGCCCCTCTGCCTGCCGCGCCTTCTTTTGTTCGGGAGTCTCGGCTTCACCGTCGATGAAGGTCTTAGTGCCAATATCCTTCAGGGCCGCCTCCAGCGTCTTGGGGCCGTCGAAGAGCGCATTGAAAGAATCGACATGCGGCCGGATGGCAGCCGCCAAGGCCGGGTATGCGGTCTGGTCCTTGGGAGGGTTGCGGAAAAGCTTCTCCCGTCTCAGGACGTCGTAATTGACCGACCAGTTCGTGTCTGTCGCCGCGGGGGCCATGGTGAATTATCTCTAGTCGTCGTAGCCGGAAGGTCGAATGAGGCGGGAAAAGTTCGATCGAACTTCCGAATCCGTTAGTTTCCGAAGCACCGTGGTGAGGATAGGTGCTATTAAGCGGGCCCAATGCTCATTCCCTTGGTATAAGGGATCGCGAGAGCCACGAGTGAGGTAGAGGAGAGGAGATGCGACTCGCACAGAGAGCCGGAGTGCTGGTCTGGAGAGCAACGAACCTCGTCGTCGCTCGACGGGGAAATTTTTCGAGGTGGATCCGGCGGACAGATATCATCACGTGGAGATAGTGTACTATATGCCTGAGGCATGAATAGCAGATAAAGTCAATTACATAATCTATGCATACGTCACGGGACAGACGCACGGGACAGGGAAGAACCGCCTTAGGCAACAAGGCAAACCCGGAATGCGTCAGTCCCAGCTGAACTCAATTAATCACTCAGTAATGTAACTACGGAGTACTAACTAACTGATTTATCGGAGAAAAATCTGCCTGTTCTCAAGTGTGGATACGTAGTTTCCATACTTCCATTTTTATCCTGGACTACTAGTACCTTATTGACCGCGCGCATTTACTCTTCCGGGGAGGAAGATAAATTATTATTTGGTGATAAGGCGGGTCGACAGGGAGGCAGACAATTGGAGATACTACGAACTAGTCCGGTAGTTACTTGGTAGTATCAATCCGCCGGCGACAGATTACCTGGGCTTAGCCGCGACTATTGGCTGCCATTTGAGAGCGCAGCTGTTAATAATATCATCATTGCTGCTCGGGGACTGTCTCTCCATTTCCTCCGGTTTGTCGATAATTAATAGCTTCCTCGTGCGACTGAGAGCCACTGGTTCCCACTCCAGTGGGCAACTAACCGTGACTAGTTGGTCCTTTTGATCCCTCTTTACAGATTCCCGGGATATACGAGTGATTGACACGGGACCTGGGCATTAAACTAACTACCCCGAGTAGCTAGTCTAATTAGTTAGTTGACTACTGGATACTGAGTCCGGACACAGACAACCAAACCCAGCCGAAAAAATCACTGACAGGGACCGGACAGGACTAGACTACTAGGCGCTCCCCTCCAGCGCGCGGCGGCGCAAAAGCGAACGGTCATGCGTGCCCATAGATCGGACCAGCTCTAGTTTCACCGCAAAGCGAAGAGACATCAGAAGAAGAAATATTCTTTTCTGGCTGCTGCCATCACTGAGGATTAGGGAACAACCAACCCGACCCTGGGGAAATTGCCGCCTTTCTTTTTTCGCGCCGCCTCGACCTCACCCTCTCACCTTCTTTTCCTGCTCAGCTGCTGCTCGGACGTGGGAAACTTGCTACGACCGCCGCCTCTTTTTTCGAATCCACCCGCCCATTATTTCCCAGCACACCGGTTACTACTACCACCTACTATTTTCCACTTCGCATCTTTCCATCCAACACTACAACCCACATCTAATCCTCTGCTTTTCCCTGCCCGGGAAAGAGAAAGCTCTGTTGCTCTCCCTTTTCAGCAATCCACTCCACCCCCACTTAACCTTACAAAATCCCTCTGTCCAGGAAGTGTCGATATATTTCTCCCACCCGTCGTCGATCGCCCACCAGCCGAGACAAGCAGTGCGCGCCCTTTCAACCTGCTTCCACCAAGTCAAGCCTTCCCCCTATTTAAACTATCCCGTCACCCTCGTTGCACTGATCGCGCAAACGACACAAGGCGCAAACCCTTTCGATAATCAACATGGCGGGTATCTTTCGCACCATCTATGACTGGCTCCTGAGGATGTTCTGGTAAGTGGGCCGCTGTCCCAATAAGTAATCGCTTTTTCTCCGGGAATGGTCCCCCCTCTTCGGCCCGTCCCCGCAGATAAGGAATCATTCCATTTGCTAAGTGCCATTATAATATATTCGCACCCGCAGGGCGACGGAGATGGATGTCACCATGATTGGTCTCCAGAATGCAGGAAAGTCTTCGTTGTTACGTGTGCTTGCGGTATGTCTTTCCCCCCCACGGCGATTGATCGCATCTTTCCGTGTTATCGGTCCTCGGCGCTAATCCCGCAGTATAGGGCGGCGAGTTCACTGTAGAGTAAGTCTCATCCTGTAGGGCCTGGCCTGACAGAGCGACACTGGATTGTCCAGCTGAGCCTCATTTCAGTTCTATTCCCACGATCGGGTTCAACACGAAACGAGTTCAAAAGGGACATGTGACTCTCAAATGGTATGGTACCCCAGTAGGGAGCTTCGAGATGCCTGTGCGCAATGTATCTAATGTCCATCCAGCTGGGATCTAGGTGGACAGCCACGGTTTCGACCGATGTGGGAGCGATACTGTCGTGGAGTGAATGCGATCGTGTAAGTGCTCAACTTTGTCTGGAAAATGTATTGGTATCCTGGCAGCGCTAACTGCCCGACCAGATACATTGTGGATGCAGCAGATCGGGCTGCCTTACCCGTAGCCAAAGAGGAGTTGCACGAGCTGATGAACAAAGAGACGCTCAACGGGATTCCGCTGTTGGTTCTTGGGAACAAGTCCGACCTTCCGGAGAAGCTGTCGGTCGACGATCTGATCCACGAGATGGACTTGAAATCCATCACTCATCGCGAAGTGAGCTGCTATGGGATCAGCGCTAAAGAGGAGACGAACCTCGATGCTGTTCTGCATTGGTTAATCGCTCGAGCCAGTCGATGAACGACGTGTCGTCAGCGACTCCGCTTGAGAACCGCTGGGGGATCAATCCCTCAGACCCTCCTCTCCTTCTTTCCTGGTCCCATCCACGAGATGGATCTCTTGTAGACTGCAGAAACCATGCGGCTCGCAGCCCCGATGTAATGATGTGAACGACGTGAACCAGACACACATTGAGCTTCAGCGTAACATTTGTCCGATCTTCAGCACCTCACCCCTGTCATGGAGTCACTTGGTTTGGTTTTCAAGCAATGATGTCAGTTTCAATGTACTTCTGTGTATTTTATGTTCCTCAGGCTGTCCTTCATAGTGGAAAAAAAAACCTGAACCATGTGGGTTGCGGACATTATTGAAGAAGAGAAAAAGAACTGCATAGTTAGCAAGTACCTCGATGATCGAGAATTGAAGCGCCAGAAAGAGGAAGAGAAATGTAATAGAGCAAGTGTTGGGGAGAAATCAATCAATGCCCAATAAGCACATGACCACCAGTCAGTCCAATGTAGCTAAGTAGCTTGCAAGCAAACAGCTGAGTCAATGAACATAGCACCAAAGTCTGGGGGAAAAAGCCAGACAGATGCAAAAGAGAGAAGAGAGAAAGCAAGAAAGAGACAAAGAGACGCGGCAAACATGAATTATTTGAGCGCGCAAAGAAAAGAAAAATAAATCCCAAGCAGGATGGCCAACAGGGCCACACACAGACCAACTGATGCGTTGGCAATGCAGATGCGCAGACGGGAACTAATCAGGCCTCCCCAGCAAATCCCACCCCGCCAAACAACTTGTACTTCCCCTCTCCTCTTTCCCTCCCCGGAGCATCTGCGAAGGTTTATGGCTGGTGCGCTTGCTTGCTTGCTTTCTTTCTTTTCCTTCCGAAATGGGGGCTAGTTGTTGAGTAGTTGTGTGGTTGATGACTGGTTATATGCCGGTTTAGTTTACAGAGTGGTATGAAGTACTCTGTTTGCTTCCTTGTTCTCGGTGATAGATTGATGGACGAGGATTTGAGGAGGGTGCTACTAGTTCCTAGGTGCTTGCGTTATGAAGTAAGTAGCTGCGCAGTTACGTATAGATCGGCTGTCTTTGCTGGTATGTGTACAGTAGGTAGTACTTTGAGTAGAAGTAAGTGACTTGCAGCGAGGCGTGGCCAATGTATCTGTCTATCTGCACCGTACTATCTATCTATTCTCGGTGCTCTATAGCGTTTATTAACCTCAGGGGGTATCTAGCCTACACACAAATCTGTAAGTAGTCCAGCCTGAGCAACTCAATCCTTATTTGTAATTTGATTAGTAGTAACTGTCATTCCTAATTAAGCTCAGGTGTGTTTGTTTGATCTAAATGATACACGAATTAGCAAAGCAGCCTATATCTATCTACGGGAATACCTATCTGGTATAGACTGCACTGAGGAACTAGTAGTAATCACCCCCGCCATAAACCTGAAACAACGAGCTATCTAGGTAGTAGGCCGAATTAGTGCCGAAGATTGAGTGGGCTGGCTTTGTCTGTCTCCGTTCATCCAGCCTCCATTCATATCATACAAGATAAGCACTAATTAGGAGAGGTGCAGCAGGCTATTATGATAGTAGGCTAGTTGTATAATGCATCTCGCTTAAGTATCGGTATGAAACTCATGCTAGTTGTGTCGGATATGTTACTTTACTGTCGTCGAGTTGCCCATTCTGGACAACATACGGAGTACTTTAGGATGAATGCATTCGTATATGCTCGCAGCAACGGAGTAAGCAAGAAAGTAGGTATGACATGGCTTACTGTACCTCTTTTACGTGAGATGAGAGAGTATTGACAAAGAAATCTCAAATCCAGGGCCGGAAAAGGCAACCCGGACACGCGGCGGAGTGCTCCGTTGAGACATGAGACTGGATAGTATTCTTCCGGTTACTACTTTTGCCTCTAGGCAAAACAATAATGCAATATGAGGATCGAGATCGAGGCCAGGTCATGGGTACAGCGATTATTACTTTGTTACTGATCTATTGCATGTTAACTGCAAAGTACAAGCGGTCAAGCGGATGATGATGATGATGATGGTTATGCTGCTGCTGCTGCTGCTACTGCTGGCGGTGTTGTTCGTAAAACTCGTGGCTGTGATTGAGCATGGACTGGATCGTGCCGAGGCACCAAATATCTGCCGACCGTTCAACAATGATGATAATAGGTGCTCTGATAGCAGACCCAAGATAGAACAAGCACACCGTGTTATGTCTTGGTTGACTTGACTTTTCGGAAAAAGTGAGGAGAAAAGACACGACAAGACGTGGTTAAGAGTGGTCCCAACTCAAAAGAGATGGATGAGTGGATGAAAGAGGCACGCGATGGGAGGAGGAGGTTGAATAATTGGCAAGTTGAGAACAGGCACCCGAATTTTGGAGAGACAGCAGTGGGCGGATAGGATAATCGACTAGTCTAGTGCCGGTCGTTGCAGTCACAGGATCCACCGAATGCGATCCGAGGTCTTAGATATCCTCGCGCTTTTTGACACTCTTAGTTTAGTGGCTGGTTAAAGTCGTGTCAATCAATATGGGTTATGGAGAAAACAGGTCTCGTCAGGCAGGAACGGTGGATGAACGCGGTATGTAGATCTAACTGATTCATGAACCATTCATTTACATATCATTATTCACCGTCAAAATTCGGGAACAAACAAGCTAGGTATTTTTTATTATTATTAAACTTATATTATTCCCCTCTCTTCTATTACTATGTAAAAAGTCTGGTTCACTGCTACCATTTGATGTGTCGAGTGGCTACTTGGAAATGGACTACGTACGACACTTTGCCAGCTGTGGGGGTGGGAAGGGCAAAAAATACTACTTACTACGTCAAACACTGCCGAAAGTTGACTTTTGGGAATGGCTTTACTACTACGGAGTCTAGTCTGCTTAAAGATTCTTCAACGGAAATGGTTGGATCTGTCTAGTCCAACGAAAACTAAGTATTAGGCCACCATCATTTATGTTTGAAAACATAAGACAAGACTAGTCAAAGAATTAATTTTTTTTTTCTCTCAAATTCACTATTTTTCATAATTAATAAATCATTTCTTTTCCATCTCCCCTTCCTTCCGATCACCTCACCAACAATAAGTAGAAGTTTATTCATCGTTCCCGGGTGTTTGCCCAGCCACTGAGCCACACTGGCACCGGCTTTTCCAGCCCTACCTTACCCAATCGCCGGCCAGTCCCCATAATAACTTACCCGTGCAGTTCCTTTCGCTTTGCTGCTGCCTTCAGACGCCCAGAAGAACTTCACTGCTTCTTCCCTTTCCCCCCCCTACCTTACTCCTGTCTGAATCCCTTCCTCGCCCTGAAGGAGTTACTGAAACTACTGAAACTTTGCGATTCTCCTCCCACCGGTTTTGTCTATATTGACCTGCCGCCGCATACTTTCTTTTCCACTTCGCTCTAGACTTACCGTTCCCTGTACCGGCCTGATCGACGTCATCTTCCGCGCCCCCCAGGCCTCCGATACAGAGGTGCAGCCACCATGGGTGTTCTACTTCGACGTCGAGACTGGTATGTTTATGACTGGCTTATCTGCCTGATCATCCCTGGTTGGAGCGCTTTCTAGGCTGCTTCAATCATGAATGGCCTTTAGTGCTGTTGTTGTACATTAGTTCGGGTGGCTGACCGTCTCTTTCTAGCTATCCCACCGTCAATGGCGAAGTGTGCGATGGCAGCACTTGGTATGATTGGGGTCGTTGGATCGCGTTCGCAGTCATTGTCGCTGTGGCGCTAATCATCTTCTTTCTCTTTGCGTATGCGTCTCATCTTCCTGGTCCAGGATCCTGCCACTGTGATTGGAGACTAACAAGTTCGGTAGATGCTACAACGCCCGCCGTCGGCGCAGACAAGGGCTCCGACCTCACCCCGGCACTGCATGGCTTGCCGGCCCTCCTCCGACCTTCCAACAGTCTCAGCAACAAGCACAGCAACAAGGTCAACGACCATACTACGCAGACCCTTACTACCAACAACAACCGCCGCCCCAATACACCCCTCATCCGCAAGCTTATGGTTACTTTGGAGGCCAGCAGACGGGAATCGAGCTACAACAACCGCCGAACGCATACCACGGTGGCGAACGGGTGTACCAGCCACCACCGGGTCCTCCTCCCGAGGGGGCTTCCAAGGTGTAACGCTTCGACCAGTACTCCGTGAAACGACTTCTCTCTTCTCCTCCTCTCTGTCTCCAGATACCCGATCCAAGGGGGTTCCTTGCGATCGACTATTATGTAATTACCCAGGCGTCTATTTGGGATATGTCGCTCTCTGCGTCTCATAGCGTTCTGTGCTAGGAGGGATACCAGGGGCCAACGTGTGACGGGTTTATGAGTTTCTTTGTGCCTATTTATTTAAAACTCCATGGTACTCGTACTATAATGACTTATCGGGGTAGTATTTTCTATGCTCTATGATTATGGCGCCAGCATCTCTTTTATCGTTTCAATTTTTTTTTTTCTTCCTCTCTCTCTTGTGTTCTTATCTGTGTCTCTTCCACTGCAATTATTGTCCACGGCTGTGTGATATATGAGGTGAAAGCAGCCGACACCAACCAACGTGAATAGCTTACTACTACAAAGTACAATATTAATGTTATGGAAGAAGGAACCGTTCCGCAGGATGATGTTTTGTCATCCAACGGTGGACCCGTCTGTCAAAAGCGATGGCTGCCGATATCTGCCTGTTCTGTGCGAACTCGTATCCTGTTCGTTGGGTCGAACCCGCGCCTAATCGAAACTAGTCTGTGAAGGGCGAACGGGGGGGGAAGCGATCAGTGATTATCCTTTCCCCTGGACGACCTGTTGGGATACCCCTTCCCTTGGCGGCGTTCAAGTAACTGGTAAGTAGCAGAGTAGCAGATAGTACTCCGTAGATAAGTGATATTATATCTCTCTCGTATTGTTCGGAGAATATCTAGACAGGGTTCCCCGAAACTAATGGGAATACAGTGGGTTGTGTAGTAGTTCGGGAGGCTGAGTGTCTGTCCCAAGAAACGCACCCATGTATTTCACCATGCTGGGGTGGGCACCGCGACTGCCAATGAGAATAGGCAGCATGCTGGAACAGCAGAAAGGAAGAGGAAAAGGCCATGCGATGGGAGAGATCGACAGCAGTGGAGAGGGTCCGGCGAGGCAGGAAACGGGCGGTTTCATCTGCTGGTTAGCTGGGTTCGAGACAGATTAACCCTCCCTGACCCGGTCAGACACTGGTATTACACCCGATTCAGTAGTGAGATTGTATGCGTATAGCAGTGTAAATACAGTCGCTCGCCTGAATTCAATTGCGATGGGCGGACAGCAAAAACTAAAGGCAGTGAGTGGCTCTCCGCAATGCGCGCTGATCTCCTGTTCCTGACCTGAAGTGCCTGTTCTTCTCCCCAGCCCAAATTTGAATTTAAATCAAATTATACCCGCTGTTGCATCCCTCGTTTTCTTCTTGTTTGCCTTCTTTCGGTCGCCCTTCCCTCCCTCATATCCCTTCCCTTCTTTCGGCCTCGGGGACGAACTTTTTCATCCCTCACGACCAGAGTCTTTCCTTTGCAGGTGGTTCGAGGAGGTATCGCATCTGGCGAGTTATTGTGTCCGCCTTGCAGATTCCCTGGCGATCTGCACATGATCCGATAAATCTATCCCAATTCCCCTGGGAGGCTGTGGCGGCGCACTGTTTCGCGGTCCGCACTACCACCACCACACACCACCATCATTAATTTCCACATTCATTGCTTTTCTCTCGTCCATCTTCATCTGACGATTCGGATCTCTCTCTTTCATCCTCCCTGTTTTGGAGGAAGTCTCTCCTTTTTACAAGAATAGATTATCACTATTTCTTGTGTCTCTCCTTGAATCAATTCCGATCGCCTGGTTGAGCACTTGCGCGCTCTCCTCTCCCTCCCTTCCCTCGGTGCGACTGTCGCGCAACGCCGCAATTTGAGCCACTCATTACGATACCAAATCAGTGTCAGAAGGCAAAGCCAGATGTGTCTCTGCTAAACCGTTCATTAAACCAACTTACTTCGAAAACCGGATTGAAAGGAACTATCCCTTGGTGCACAGTCGCTTATCTCATACCGTGCATTTGTTGCATGATTACGCCCGCCGTGTGTCAGGAACACGCTCTATACCGTCTTTGGTCGGCTGTGGGACTCGAAGGATTTCCCGGTGGATCGCGCACGCCTTGCCAGGATAATGAGTCCGGTGGATAAGGCCCCCGTCCCCTTGTGGGCGAGGGATGTCGTGAGCGATCTCAAGTCCGACGCCAGTACGTTCACTAGTTGGGACAAGTGCATGTCCAAGGCTTACTGCAAGTGAGTTTCTGTTTCAATTGTTGGTTGTTGGATGTCTTTTGACTCAGACTATTACCTAGGTGGCCCGTTATCGTCGCTATCATCATCGCCGCGCTGATTGTCCTCTCCGTCATTGCCTGCGTGATCAATTGCCTGTGCTGTGGTGTGCAATGCTGCAAATGCTGTTGTGGATGTTGCTTCAAGTGCTGTCCGGGTTTCAAGAGAAAGAGGAACAAGCAGAAGTACTTGGACGACCAATATGATCAACCGCCCCCCATGCCTGCTATGCCGACCATGCCAGCACCTATGAACAATGCCTATCAGACACCCTACCAACCACAGGCACCGCCCGTGTACCGTGGAGCAGAGGTTGCACGATTCGATACGCCGTCGAGTCCTGCCAACGGGAAGTTTGACGAGGATGCGTTGCCCGCCATGCCTACCTGGGAAAGTGCCGTGACAAAGAAGGTCGAGGATGAGAACCCCCACGCGGAATCACTCGAGATGAAGCCTCTGAGCAATGCGAACCAGGAGCCTCGTCGCATGCCTTCTGGAGCCCGGTCTGTTACGGGAGGCTACGGGGGGCCTCCGCCGTTGAGGACCGGAACGCCTGCTGCGCCAGGCGCATACCATGCTGAGCCTCGAGGATACGACGGATATGATGGACCGGACGCATATGGCTATCACGCCCCCGGCCCACGGTCGCCTCCGCCCGTTTCTCCATATGAGCATCAGCCTTACAGCGAGTATCCTCACGAAGACCGCTTCCATAACATGTCACCGGCACCCACCTACACCACCCAACCGCAGTATATGCCTATGGACGCGACTCAGCCTCATCATGCACCTATGGATGGCATGCAGCCATACCAGATGCCCATGGACGGCATGCACCCGGACTATATGCCCCCAGAGCCTGCGCACCCGCACTACATGCCGCAGCATCAGATGCCTCCGGATACCGGCACGTACGGACAGCCGATGCCGATTAACAGGACCTTCTCTCCAGCTCCGACGCTCCACTCGGCTATGAATGCGCCTCGTCCGGTCCCGTACCGCCAGCCTTCCCCCGGCTTCCAGGCACCGCCATACCGCAACATGTCCCCAGCGACTCCCACGTCGCCCCCTCCTCCTTTCTCTACGACCCCTGCGCCTCGCGAAGCCAATGAACCGGGCCGGCCCCCGAGTCTTTTGCAAAGCGGACGCAGGCCTACCAACTTTTAAGTCACCTTCGACTCTCAGTAACCACAGTACTTCCAGCAATTAGTCTCGTGACCGATGCTGACCCTCCTGCATGTGCTTGGAATGCCCATCCATGGGAGCAGCGTGATGGACATGTTGACACTCACGCGTCAAAGCAGGCTTCTAAACAAGCCTGCAAGTCCAAGCAAACGGCTCCAAGCCACATCGCAACAGCCAAATCCATTGGCTAGATCCGTGATGCCTTATCCGGCATCCCTTGTTTTCTAGAGCACCTCTCGCTTCGTCACCAGGTGCCCTGGTGACTAGTACCCTTTCCTCTTCATCCCGCTTGTATATACAGTTTCTACCCTTCGTATCTCCGGCCCGCTATGACCCAACCAAACCGAACCCTTTTTGCATGATGTATGTTTTGAATCAAATGATAGACAGTATAACGAACCGCACCTGTCATGCCTGGATAGGGTTATCCCAGTGGCTTTAGAGTGACCTTTTGAGAGAATACAAATCCGTTGATTCGGTAGTACTCCAAAGTATATGCAGTCAACCTTTCATAAATCTATTAAGTACTATGGAACAATCCTCAATAGTAAGTATATGAAACCAAGCTCAAATCTCAGCTAAATATTCCATTGATATAATAGTACATAACACCACACAAAATCCAAGTCACTCACCCGAGTACCAAATTCCAGTAGTATATATCCTAGAGAAAGATAGCAGTAGTTATCTACTCCAACGTAAAATCCCACTCCTTGAATGCCTCCTTAAACGCCTCTGCATCCGCTTCCTCCTCCTGCACAGACTGCACATCATCCTTCCAATTAATGCGCTTCTCCAACCCCATCAACTTCGCCATGACTCTGCGTCCGAATTGAAGATCGAACCGGAAGTCCGGACTAAGTGGCAGGAGGAGCGTTTTCTCCTTACCTTTATCACCACCCTTCTCACTGTTTTTCCCAGCTTCAGCCTCAGCTTCAGCTGCAGCCTGCGGGGGCTCCCAAATCCACACGCGGAAGAAGTCACCCGGTTCGGCGCTCTCATCACCATCATTAGGTTGAGATGGAGATTCGAATCTCGGATACTTCAGGTTCTCGGCCTCGACTTTGAATGCGGCGTCGACGAGACCTCGACGCACGAGATCAGCAGGCACAGGGAGGAATTGCCAGTGGATGTGGATACCGTTTCCGCGGGAGACTTCCCAGGTGACTGCGCCGAGGGAGTTGTTTGCGCGGTGGCGTAGCATGGAGTGCAGGGCGGAGCGGTAGCGGTGCATTTCGGCGTAGGTGGATTGTCTGGAGGTGGGGTCTGAGATGCTGGAGAGGGTGGGGGAGTGGGAGAAAGGGATGATGAGCATGTGAGCAGGGAAGTTGAGAGAGGAAGAGGCGAAGGTTTTGGAGGTGGGGAGGGGGCCCTTTGCGGTGGTGAGGTAGGCTTCGTCGCCGATGGAGGTGATGAGGTGGGTTGCGATGTTGGGGTTGGAGAGGCAGAAGAAGCATTGGTCTGGGCCTGGAGGGGGCGCACGAGCGCGTCTTTTGCGGGGACGGTTGTCGTCGTCGTCGACGGCGAAGCGGTGGTAGGAGTCGCGTTGGGATTGGAGGGGTTTGCGTTTGGTGGGGATGGGGGCGAAGGGGGCCGCGGTTGTGCCCGCTGGGATGGTGAAGGCTGGGGGCGCTTTGGGGTCGAGGGTGAAGGCGTACATCCATTTGGTTTTGGTGGTTTTGCTGTATGCTGCCAGACTGATGAAGCGGGTGAGGGGTTTGGCGTCCGGGTTGTCGGTGTCGGCGGTGGGGAGGTGGAAGAAGGGTTCGCGTTCCCAGAAGAAGGCGCTGGAAGAGGAGAGGTGGTAGCGTGGTTTAAGGGTTGAGCAGAGGTCGGCGATGCATTGGACTTCTGTTGGGGGGGTGTCGGTGGTGTCGGGGAAGGGGGCTTTGGAGCCGATGCGGATGTCCTTGGGCCATTGGTGGGTGATGAGGATGTCGGCCTGGTGGGCGCCGTAGAGGGCGCGGGCGTCGGCTTCGGTGTAGGAGGGGTGGTATTTGTCGGAGGATTTGGACTCGGGGTCGAGAGTGCCTCCTAGGGAGACGAGGCGCACGCCTTCGGAGGTCTTGAGGGTGCCGCGGCGGCCCAGGAAGTATAGGTTTGGGCAGACTTCGTCCTTGGATTCGATGGCCTCGATGATGCGCGTGGGGAGAGGACGGCTGCCCAGTGTGAAGTAGGTGGGAAGAGGCACGACAATGTTGCCTTGGAGCAGGGCGCTGATCTGCTCGAGTTCATGCTCTGTAGAGCAGTCGCCGAAGAGGTCGCCGACGATGATGGCGAAGGAGAAGTTTTGCTTGATATGCAGCTTGGAGAGCTTGGTGAAGACGTCTTGCAGCTCACAGTTGACGTCACCAATGACGACTCTGGGAGGGAGTTAGTAAAGTGCTCCGAAGAGTGAGTGAGGTAGACTTACATTTTCGACGCCATGTTGGAGAAGGGAATATCACGGATACTAGTACTATGATGCAAGAAGCAGCTTTAACATATTAGGGTGAGATGTTCGAATTGTGTCTGTCGCTGCAACTGGTATATGTCAGGGTCACGATATGGTATAAAAATCCCTGATAGAAGTCTAAAGAGATCCAAAGATGTATGCCAATGCGCGTTTGCTCCACCAACTGATGCTATTGAACGAGGAATATTCGAGTTATGCCGAAATCGCCAAAAATGGATTCGAGGAGCTTGGGCCACATGCAGTGCACGTGATGTAAACCTAACCTGATGTGGCTAGAGCAGACGCTGCATAAGGCCGGGCGGTGAGCTAATCTCCGCACCGGAACAAGGTTGCCGCGGCCCCGATGAATTTTTTTGTCTATACTATTACACAGGCAGAGAGGAGAGTTGGAGATATCCACACCTTGACTTTTGACGAATAATTGTAACGACGCTGCTCGTGTCGTCGCCATCATATAACAGGATGGTCGCAGCGTCGTCGTCTTCACGGGCTAAGCCCGTGAAGCGCGTGAAGGGTGGCACAGAGACGACCAAGTCGCATCGATTCGAGCCGTTTTCCCAGCGTGTCGCAAAGTTGAAGATCGACCCTATCCATCGTGTGCGCCGACCCAGCTTTGGGGAAGAAGCCGATGAGACCTCGTCCTACTTCCGGTCGGCCTTCGAGCATTGGGTCGAGTTGAATTTGTCGGATAATTTCGTCCACTTTGTCCGCAAGGTGAACCCTCTGTGCGAGAGTTTGGCCCAGATTCTGTACCATGAGGACAAGATCATGAGCCTGCTGGTGGAGTTCATTGAGAAGAGGGACAGTTTGTCGATGGAGCCGCTGCTGGGTCTTATGGCTCAGTTCGCAAGGGATTTGGGCGTTAGGTTCGAGAAACATTTCGCGACAGCGGTCACTCTGGTGGCGTCCGTTGCCGCAAGCCATTCCGATGTCGAGGTCGTCGAGTGGTCCTTCAGCTGTTTGGCCTGGATCTTCAAGTTCCTTTCCCGGCTTTTAGTGCCCGATCTTAGACAGCTTCTGGGTATCATGACGCCGTACCTCGGAAAAGAGCGCCAAAAGTCGTTTGTTGCCCGCTTCGCCGCCGAGTCCATGTCCTTCCTTATCCGCAAGGCCGGCCTAGTCTATTACAAAAATGCAACTCCCCTCCAGCGCGCCGTGTCCTTCCTACTCGATGACCTACGCCAGGCTGCCGAAGACGGAAACAATGTGGAGATGTACAAGGAGGGTCTCATGGCGATGTTTGCCGACGCCATCAAGGGTGTCAAGTACGGCATTCACTCCAACGGAGCCGACATTCTCAGCTGTATCTTGGACCATATCTCGACCGGCGACGATTTACGGAGCAGTTTGGGACTGGACGTTGCTAGTGGAGTCGTGATCAACATCATCCATTGCACCACACCCGACACCTTCGAGCCGATTCTTGATCTCATCAAAACGTATATCGAAAAGAACTGCCGTAAAGGAGAGAAGCAGCACGCCAATGCATGCTGCCGGCTGATTTTCCTGTGTATTGCGACTCGCAAGGGAACCAGGGTCAAGAACTGGAAGCCCGTTCATCAAACATTGCTCCTTTTGCTCCAGAACGCTGCAGGTGCGGCTAGTGCGTACGCCGAAGCCACCCCACAGCTTCTTACCGCAGTCGCCTATGCGCTACAAGTGTCTCCTATGGATGAGATGCTGCCATTCATGCGCTCGATCATGGACGCTGTGAGCAAGGACGAACTTTCGACGCACTTCCTCGGTTTCTGTGCCACATTTTCGGAATGGGGACCGGAGAGATTCCACAGTGTTGTCCTTCCCTATTTTCAAAAGTTTGTCAATAATTCATGGCAAGATCACGAGCACGACCTTTGCCTGGCATTGCTCCGGCTGAACCAGGCTGGTTGCATCACGTCTGAGGTCTCCAAGCCTGGCTACATCACTTGTCCTGCTTCCTGGAAATCCCGGGTCAAAGACACCTTCAGCAAGTCTGACCACAATGATACCGAAGTTACTCTACTCAGCGCATACGCCAAACTCCCCAGCACCTTGTCGCTTTCAGCGGAACCGTCCCTCATACCCGAAATGACCAGCACTCTTCATAGGCATCTTGTTCGCGTATTAAAGCAGAAGAATACTGATACATCCGCTACAGCCAAGCTTTTCTTGGGCCAAGGGTTCAAGACTTATGTGGAACTTGCGACGACTGCTAACGAACTCGACAAGACTCTCTGGGACCGTATTAGCAAGGTCGCGGCGCAATACTCTCGCCTCCCGGTCTTCCTCCAGGCCACGTTAGACTACATCTCAGCGTGCAATAAGGATATCGACATTAAGGGCTCAGCCGTCGAAGAATTTGCGGAAGTCTTAATATCCAATCTCAGCGGTCCCTCCCACAAGCTGCGGTTGTTGTCCTTGAGGATTTTGCGTGAACTCATCTTGGCTTCTAAAGAAGACGCCGAACTTGTCTCTCTGGCAATCGAGATCGAGGAAAGCCCGTTGACCTTGCAGAGCGCTAGGGTTTTGGCAATGCATGTGCGCAAGC